CGCGGGAGCGCGCCGAGGGGCTGGGAGTTGTGTCATCCGGCTGCGCCGCTCCGTGCCACGTGACTTTGCGGCGGGCGGGGCGAGAGCTGCGCCGGGGACGCGTCATTGGACCGCGCAGCCGCGTGCGGCTTTGACTCTGGCCGGTGTGTGAGCGGGGCTGGGCCGAGTGCTCTGGCGCCACCGCGCGGGCCAGGCTCGAGGCTACGCGGAGCGACGGGAGCCCGGGAGAGTCGGGCTGGACTTAGGCCCTGTGTTCTCAGGCGTGCCTTGCCGCTGAGGGTCCGACTACCTCCTCCTGGAGTAGCAGCTTCCATGGGCGTTTGGGGCAGGGGCCTTGACGCAGCAACCTCTACATGGTACATCCCCAGTCCCAGGACTGGGCTTGAGCGACCCCAATCACCCCTCCCCCTGCACCTCCTAACTGGGGCCTGGCGTCAACAGCCTGAGGACTAACGCACGCTGATCCCTAGGCTCTGTCCAGGACCCAAGGTAGACATCCTGGGCTTGCTCCATGTTCAGGTCAACCTGGAGCAGTCCCTGGAAAGGCCATGCGGACCACGGCTATGTGATCATGGCTAAGTCCAGACACCGGATCCGAGAGCAAGCCTGCAGTTGATGGAGTTGGAATAGGCTCCTCCGTGCCGCTGGGTCCCACCTTCTGCTGTGGGCATCCAGGCAGATGGCAGGCTGGTAGGGCAGAGCTGCGGGCATACAGGCCAAATGCATAGATAGTGCCTTCCTGTTCACCTCCAGGGGGATGACCTTTTCTCCCTAGGCAAGGATGCCCAAGTGCTCAAGCTGAAGCCATCGCAGAACCTGACCCAACTTTTGGCGCAGAAACCCTGGGATGAGGAAGAGCACACTCAGTCCTGCCCTCCCTCCACAACCAGAAAGCAGCTCCCTAAGCAGCTCAGGCAGGTGCAAGGGGAAAGGCCTTGGAAGAAAGAGCAGTGGGCTCCATAGCAGACTGTAAGAAGGCCCCTTACAAACTGAATTTAGGATCGACACAAGTGACATGATTTGAGGCAAGATCAGTTCCTTGGAAAGCACTGGTTCTTACTCCTGCCAATCTTGCAAAAACCTGATCAGGCATCAGACTTGGAATGGACACTAGACCACGATCCCAGAAGAGCAAGTAGGTGTCAGTATTGAACATACATGGTTATTGAAGCCATCCTTGCAGAAAACCACAGTCCACATACCCTCAGTCATCTGTACCTAGTTGTGTAGCCTGCAGCCCTCTTGTATGGGTCACAAACATTGTATCAAGGGGCAGAGTATCAAGCCTAGCCTCCATTTTGGTGAGGTGCTTGCTACCCTCCAGTCTCTCTCTCTCTCTCTCTCTCTCACACACACACACACACACACACACACACACACACACACACACCAGCTGGCTTCAGTCCCTGTGGCCTGCCCTGGTATTTTCAGCACTGATGGTTGAAGGACAAATGGGAATATACTCCAAAATGCTTTGCAAACTGGGAAGCATAAGCTGGTAGGTTCATCATGGGGTAAAACCCTGTTTCAGTATACACTTTAATTCTAAAGGCAGCTAAAATTTTTTTCCTTTAATAAAAAAATCCTAGACACACTGAAGTCCTAGAGTAAACCAGCAACAGAAGGAAATGAATCCCCTCACGGGGGCACCATAGAGCCAGCATCATCAGGAAAGCTCCAGGCTTCACATCTGATACAGTATTGTCAGGAGCCTGCTTAAAAAATAAATTACAAAAAGGCTGTTTTGGGAAGACAGCTGAACTGTTTTTTCCCCTCAGGTGCAACAGGAATCGAGTAGACTACAAATCAGTCCGAACACTGGCTGCCTTGGGGGCATGTTTAGGCATCAGTTCATTTATCTTGCGGATGTAGTCAGACTTTTCTGCACAGCCTTTGCAGGTCTCCCCCCAGTCATCCAGTATCTTCTTCAGCTCTTTGACTCGGAGCTTCTTAAGGTCCACGGTGCTCAGGTCAATCTGCTTGTCTAGAGAAAAGATCAGGGAGAGTAACTGGCTGGGTGGGAGCAGCCACATCTCCTGAATACTCCCAGGATAGGTCACCCCCTGTACAGCCAAACCAGACCCTACAACCAGCCCTACTGGCTGTAGGGGAAGAGACATTTCCAGACACATCTGGAGGTACGTCAGTGTCCCCCTCAACCAAGAGAGGGAACTGGCCCCTCACCAGGAGACTAGCCCATGCTGTCAGTGTCCACTACAGACATGCAGTGTGGACAAGGACAGGGACAAAGGCCATACTGTCCTTACAGGAAGAACATGGCCCCATCCCCCAAGTGCCTTGTATATAGTCACTGCAGAATGACAGCTCCAGGCTGGTGACAGAGCAGGCAGATCCTTTAGTTGTTATTTCTCAGTAGAGGCCCTGGTCAAACTTTTGGGTCAGGGGCTAACTCTCTGTGACCACAGAATGACCTGGAGCCAACCTGAGGATCACTCTCAGAAGACCAGGCATCCTTGACACAAGTGGGTGACCATGGGCCCTTGGACATTTAAGTTATAATAAAAGTTAATTGTTACAGAACAGACCTTGACTCTGAAGACTGGTACTATGTTTGTGCAAGCAGAGACTGACTCAACAAGAGAGATGTTGTAGCTCCTGTAACTCTTGAGCCTGCCCACTTGGACACAGCATTTCTTTTCAGAATAATAAAGATCACTGGGCCTTCAGAGCTTGCTGCCAGGACAAGCCTATTAAATCCAAGTCAGATCATGTCCCTTCTCTGCTCAAAAACTTCAAATGCTCCTAACTTCAATCAGACTAAAAGCCAAAGTCCTCACCAACCAGCAAGGCTTTCTGTGACCTGCCCACCTCCCTGTCATGCCTCTGGCTGCCTTTACACTGTCTGTATTCTCTGCCTGAAAATGCTCTTTCACTAGCTGGCCTATTGGCTAATCCTCATCTCTTTCAAAGTTTGCTGAAATGTCACCTCCTCAATGAGGCTTATTTTGACCTCCACTCACTTCCATACCAGATCCTTCCAGCATTCAGCACCATCTATCATGCAAAATAACCCACTCAGGTCTCTAGTCTGTCTTCTTCCTCTTCTAGATGGCAAATAAACACAGAAGGTGCACAGCACTTGTTAGATAAGGCCTGGCCACACTTACCATACTTCAGCTCACAGATCTGGCTGTCCTTCTTCTTGAGCTTCTCACAGATCTTCTCCACAGGGATGTGGTGGGCCAGGGGCTTTGAGACCTCATTGATGATCTTGGTGGCTGCATCATCTGTGGCCCCAATGTAGTAGCACTACAACCAAAAAAAGGACAAAAACCTTCAGGAGGTGCCACTTGAGAGCCATCTCCTTCAAAACACACTGACATCCCAAAACATCTCTCTGCCAGGCCCTCATTTTTTGGTGTCCTGTTGGTACTGGCAGTCAGATTCAGTCAGTGTAAAGCTTGGGTCCTTAACACATGCTCATTCCCAGAGTCGATAGCCACAAGATGTGTCCAAAACTTTAAGAGACAGACAAACCAGAGACTGCCAGGAAAATTAAAGCAAGAAAAGCCATTGCTTCAGTAGGATTCTTGTCTTCAGTCTGGCCCTGGCCTACCGTACTGTGGGCACCTTGTCACCTCTGGTCTTCACACATCCCAAGTTCTTTCTGGTCTCTGGGCATTCACACTGGCTGTTCCCTCCATCTGGGATGCTCTTACCCGACTTCAATGATGACCCACTCTAGATTAACACCTAATGCCTCCACCAAAGGACCCTGGTCTGTTTTCTTAATGACACCCATCCACTGCGTTATTTGTTTGCCTGATTGTCATTTCTCTCTCCTGATATTCCCAGTCCCCAGCACACAGTAGGTGCTTAATAAATAATAACAGGATAGAAAATATCACAACTGCAGAATACATGCTCACTTGCAGAAGGACATGAAAGCACTTCAGTCCCTCATCAGTTTACAGACAGAGCAGCTGGCCTCCTGAACAGAGGGGTGGGCGGGGCCTTTTATCAAGGGGTGGGTGAACATGAGCCAGGGCCAGCCGTGGAGGATCCCCAGCTACTCACCAACCGATTCTCTTTGCCTCTTGCTTCGCGGCAGAACTTTATAAGTTCTTTTTCAATAGTAGCTGGTGAAAATGTGACATCTCTGTCTTTGAGGTCCTGGTAGAATCTTCCCAGATAAGAAATACAAACTGGAAAAAAGAGGGAAGGGAGATGCTCAGCAATTACCCCTCATCTACCAGGAAGGAACTCCGTCAGTAATTTTAATAGACGACACAGAGATGAACCATCAGAGGTGAGTTTTTCATCACTGGCTTTTTTTCAGGTGTCCACAGATAGACAGAACTTGGCTCCAGGTTGCCGGGGTCCCCTGAAACCCCCATGGCATAAGGGGAATGAGCAGCACCTCCAATAACCCGTAAACAACTCCTCCCTGTTCCTTTCATGAAGCTTAAGCCTAAAGCTAACACGTGTCCTTGAGAAGGGACTCACTGTGACCTCATAAATGGACAGACTGGAGACTGAAGAGAAAAACGATCAAAATGCTGCTGCTAATTTCCAAATACACCACCGAACCCCGGGGTGCAGCTTCACGATCCCAACCGACGGGGCGCGGTACCCACGGCCGATCCTCGGGGGGTCCTCGACCCAGAACGGGGCCGCTCCCGGGAGCCTCTTGACGGTGGTAGGAAGGGACAAAAAACTCCGGCGTTATGCATATTTCAGGCCAAGTTTCCAGCAGGATTTAGTCTCAACTTTTTCTTGTCGGACTAGTGTTTTCTGGGCCCGGCGTCTGCCCTTCCTCTGGTGGGCCCCACTGGGACCGGCCTCCGCCGCCGCCCCCGCCCGCTCTGGCCCTGGCAGTCGGTGCTTTTATTGGGTTCCGCGCCGCCGCTAGGACGGCCTCAGAGCGCGGACCCCTGACCCCTCGCACCTTCGCAGTCGCCCGGTCGCAGCGCCCGGCTGCCCGGCAGCACGCTCAGAGCCAGCGCTACCGCCAGCCCGTGCGTGGCCCACATCCTCTTCCTCCCCGCTGCCGCCGCCGACCGACTGAACCGCACCCGCCTCGCGCACCGCCTCCAGGTCCCGGCCGCGCGCCGTAGTTTCCCATTGGCGGGCGGCACCTACGCCCGCCCCCACGCCGCGTCCCCATTGGTCCAAGCGCCCACTAGCCCAGACGTGCGGCTACACGCTGCCCTTCCCCATTGGCTGGTGGCGTCTCAGCCCTAGACAGTTGTCGGCCGCTGATTGAACCCCTGCTGGCCGCAGGAAGCGGCAGCGGCCGCTACGGAAGCGGTGGAGGCGGTCGTTTTGGTTAAGGGCAGCCGCCTAGGCTGAGGTTGGGCGTCGCCAGCTGAAGCGGGGTTCGACCGCCGCCTTGCACCTGCTGACTTGTCCCTCGTACCCCTTGCTCTGGGCTCCACGCCCGCCCGGAAAACCCTGCGGACTCCTCGCCTAGGACCCCGACTCGTGGCTCAGGTCAGGAGTTCTGGGATCAGCCGAACCCCAGCAGGGTAGGTAAGAGAGGGCGGGCAGCTGCAGGCAAGGTTCAAAAAGAGACAGGGCTCAGAAGAGGTGTCTTTCCTTTTTTCAAGCGATTACGTGAACGGGGGACCCAACTTTTGGGAGTGTCTGCTGAAGCTCAGGCGCCCACGTACTTGCCCCCTGGCTGACCGGAGCCTGCCTCGTACTGGCTGACAGCAGATCTACGTGTGGACGGATCTCCGGCTGCGGGATTTCCAGGAGAAAAGGCTCAAAGCCGGGCTGCCCTACTAAAGCGCCCGAGGTCTGAGCTATGGCCGAGGCTTTGGGATCGCCTCCGAGTGGCGAGGTCATGGGGGCTTGGGAGGTTTGTCCCGCTCCTGGAAGAGCTTGTTTCCTCACGAGCTCTGGAAGCGTGGCCGAGGTGGTTGGCCCACCCCTCCTGGTTCCCAGCTGCCGGGCGTACTCTTGAGTGGGGTCCTGCGGGTCAGCAAGCACTGGAGGTGCTTGGGCTGCCCTCCTTTCAAGTGCTGGTGTGGCTACCTGCCTTTGAAGGTAGGACGCACGAGGGTTGTTGACTCTGCTCAGTGAGGAAAGGACTCGTATGGAGCTAAAAGGGCTTGGAGCCCGGCGACAAGGATTGCAGGGGGCACATCAGCTGCTCCCATTCAGTGAATTCAGTGGATCAGTAGCAGGTATTCATCTTTAATTCACATCACAGCAGTCAAGGGAGTGGGGAAAAGGGGGAAAAATCAAGTGGCAGATATTTACATCTAAAATTCACATTACTTACTTGTTGGATTTCAAACATGCTACCACAATATATACAGTAAAATACCTCTTGGGACATTAGTACAAATTTTTTTTTCTTTTAACTTTGCTTTTCTGGTACAGTAAGATCATTTTTAAATCACTTTTTCTTTAAACATGGATACACAAAAAGAAATGGTTAGAAGTTGTCTTGTTTTAAAATAAGCACAGAATGCCAGAGGTTAAAAACACATTTATAGGGCTGAATACCAATTGGACATCACACTTTATACATTTTTTGCTCAAATTCCTGTACAAATACACAGCATTCAAATAGGTATTTACAAATAAGCTTGAAAGAATGAAAATCAGTATTTTACAATCTTTTCAAAGGGTTCTCATCTCTGGCCTCCCACTTCCCTCAGACTGACTGATTCTCCACTGAAAAGGATTCAGAATGTGTCCTTTCATTGAGTTAGGGAAAATGGAGACGGAAACAGTTTCACCTTACATAAAGCAGACTAAACAAACCCACACTCCTCTCCCTACTTCATGTGCCATCAAGTGGAGAAGGTAGTTGTTCTTACTTAATGACTACTTTCTACAGGGATTCAGGTTCAGAACTGCCTTGAAATCTAAAATGCCCTCCTACCTAAGAATCAAACTTAAAGCTAGTCCGACCCTGTAACACCTGTGAACACCAGAAGGTCCAGAGACTGAAGTTGCAAGTGAATCTAGGCTCATAAGTTGGCCAGCCCTTTCAAGTGGGGGGACTGCCACGACTGACCCACATTCACAGCAGCCATCTGCCCCTGTCTGCTTGGAATGATCAGTGGCATCAGAAAGGACTCATACTGGTGATAAACAACCAGAAACCCTGAAGGTAATTTAGCCCTCCACCTTTCCCAATACATCAATTTACTAGCATTTCTGTTAAACAAGCTGGCGTTTGTTTATAAGAGAAAAAGACCCTGACCATGGCCTTTTCTGTTTGGAAAAAGGGGTTATGTAGAAGGGATGGAGGGTTAGGGCCCAGAGCCTGGCCATTGAGGACAGACAGACCAGCAGGAGACAAACTGGGGGCAACATGCCTGCTCAACAAGAAGGCAGCCTTATGACCATCACTAACATGAACTCAAGCAAATAAAATAAAAAGTACTTTGAAGACAGTTTTTTTTTAAGTAACTTAGAAGCACCTGATAAAATACTACTATACCTACCCCATTCTATCCTCTCAAATAATAAACAGGAAAACCAGTGCCCTGGCCTGAAAGAGTTTCCTATAAAGATACCACTGCATTCTGCCCAACAGACTGGAGAGGCTGGAGAAACTGCCTTCCTGCTGGCCCTGAACCCTGAGAGGTGGTACCCACATGCCTTGGAGCGGAGGAGCTGTATTTGGCCAGTTGGGAGATGACAATTCTACCAGCATGGCTGTCTGCTTCCAGCCTCTTTACCCAGGATCTTGCTAATTCTGACCACATCCTCAGGGCCCGGGAAGCCTGGGTGGGCAGCCAACTCCATGGCTCAGAGGTAGTGCTGAAAATCCCTGATTCAGGAGCTGATGGCAGACGTTCTAAATGCTTCTGAAAGCTTAGAGGATTTCCGGCCCCTGCCACACCCCAGCTTCACTCTTCACCACATGGCTCTCCCAGGAGGAAGGTGGCTAGGGTACCCCTTGGGCTCTAGTACTTCACGCAAGCCCGGGAGGGTGGAAGATAACCCTTGCAGATACATTTGCCAAGGGACTTTTGTGGGGCATGAGGTGTATCAGCAGTCCAAGGGAACAAACAGTTAGAAATAAAAATGATGGAGAGAAGATGGAGTAGGAGATGGCTGGCCCATAGAAGCCTGGCAGTATGCCCTGGGCATGCAGTTAGGCCAGTCACATGCCTAAGCCATCATGTTGGCCTGGCCAGCTCCTCAGTTGCACACTCCTAGACAGAAGAGTGGGCAGACATTTGTGCAAAACGGCTTGTAGCTCCTTTATCCACCTGTGACACGTAGTCCATGTGGTCCTTGCAATCCCTGAATGCAACCATGAACTTTTCTGTCCATATAGCAAAGGAAGAGGTCCCTAGTGCAATTTCCATTCTGTGCATCTCTACCCTGGAGGGAGGGCCTGGGCTTCTGCTCCTGAGCCCTGTAATGCGGCAAAGCGTTCTGTCTGTGCAATTTCTCCACATGGTTCCACATGGCCTGGAACTGGAGGAGGAAGAAAGCATCTACTGCATAAAGAAAGGAAAACCCATAGAAATGGAAATGTAAAAAAATGAAATAAAAAGGGAAGCCACAACCCTTCATGCTGCTGTGGCCTCTGTACATGGCAACACATGAGTTCACGGCAGTAGAATGGAGACTTGGGGTGGTTCTCTCCTGAGTGCCAAGCCTCTCTGGCTCCCTGGGGGGTGGAGGAGGGTGGGGAGGGGGTTCGCTTTTCAGACCTGGAGTGGTTGGGCAAGCTGCTTGCTGAGGGTGACATCCCAGCCACCTCTCTGCCCCTCATTGTTCCCCTCGGCCGTGCTCCCAGGCCATGCGGGCCTGCTCATCCTTGGTGCTCCCAGGAGGCAGTGAGGCCTTGCGGTGCAGGCCTCGAGGCCTCTCAGTCTCTTCACGCAGCAGAACCCCCTCATCATGCTCCAGAGCTGGCAGGCGGGGATGGTACGGCTTGGGTGGCAGCGCAGGCGGGTCCATGGGGTCTTGAGGGATGACACATCCCGGGGCTGAGTGGCTTCTGCATGGCTGGGCCTTGATGGAGTCCAGGACGGCGGACTCGGAGAGGCTGTAGTGGACAGGGAGGTAGGGTGGCTCAAGATCTTCATCAGCATTCCAGGCCTGGCTTGGCATGGAGTCCATGGTGTCTGTGCGAGGTGGAGCCTCTGAGGAGTGCCCAAAGTTACTCTCACTCAAGGAGGACACGCCACTGCTGGCACTGCCCGACAACGTAGAGTTGCTGCCATCTAGGCCTGACTGGGGGCTTGTGGGGGATGCGGGGATAGGGTGGAGGGGAGACTGCAAAGGAAAAGGTCGGCATGTTAGACTCCTCTCCAGACAGGCTGACTGGCCTGACACAGGAAAACTAAGAGCCTGCCTATGAATTAACTTTAATGCTTATCAACAGCATGTTTCTTGTTTCTTGATTAACAAATTCCCAGCTCCTCCTCCCACCCTCAAGCAAGCTAGTGGAACTCGAGAATCATCTGCCTTTCTGTGGCCAAAAGATGGCTTTGTCCTGGACATTGGTGTTCCCTGGGGCTAGGTCCCAGGCTCCTGTCTGTGGCTCTGGGGTATAGACAGAAGGGCTGGGTCGTCAGGCCAGTGGAGACGTGAAAGAACCCTGATGAACTGTGGACCAGAGGAATGTATTTTGCTGTGGAAATCTGACAGACTCAGTCTTTTCCAATTTGCAGAAAGATTATTAGGTAGGATTTAAGTTTTACTCTCATGAGTTTTTCATAAAGTTTTGGTGTCTGATGCTTACTTTTACTGAATTCTAGTTTAAAATGTTCTGATACATCACAGAAATGTTTGTTTAGGTTAGCTAGTGAACTCTGATGTGTTGGCAGAGAGCCCCCAGGTCTTGCAGTGCTCACTGCCCACACTCTTGGTACTGTGTGTTGCCCTTTCCAGGACCCTCTGATCTCCCTGCCCCATCGCATGTGCTGCAGGATCCAAGTGTGCACCTGCAGCTCAGGTGTGGCTCTGGATACCCCCAGCTTCTGCCAGGCTAGGGAGAGAGAAGAGGAGGGCTTAGGTTCCTCTTATAGACCCCAAAGGTGATTCTAGAACAGATCAAATGATTTGTCTCACAGCCTGATGGGGCTGCCGCTTCAGTACGTTACCTTGCGCAGGGTCCGGGCAGGGAGGGCCGGGGGGGTATCACCCAGAGGGTGGTGGAAGGCGTCAAAGTGTAGGGAATAATGACCTGTAAAGGGAACAGAACCAGAGCCTCAGTGGGGGCCCTGCTCCAGGCTACATGCTGGCACCATCTTGCTGGCCACTGGACAGGTATGGGAAGAGTCTCCTGGGAATCCCTCAGCGTTGAGAGCTATAGAAAAACCTCTCTATGTGGCCTTCTCCAAAACACAGGCTTCTGGGGTAAAAGAAACCCACTTCAACAGGAGGTCAGGAAAGTCGAGTGCTTCAGAGCTTGTGGAACACGGGCTGCAGGCAGTGGCAACTGCAGCCCACTGCTAGGCAACGACAGGCTGGTGAGCAGTGTGCCTGGCACAGTCAGTTCTGTTGTCTTCAGTCTCCTTGGTTGGGATGGCCTTCCTGAGCTAACCTGCTATACTCAGAAACCTCACGACCCCAAAGCCCAGCAGGATCCTTCCTGTGATTGGGATGTTTTTTCCTTGGCTGAGTTGGCCCAGAGAATAGCCCATCTTCTCAGCCTGGATGGCTGTTGCCCTGGCCCTTGAGCAGAGTCTGAGACAAGGGATTATTTGGGAACTCGCTGGAGATCTTCTTACCATGCAGCAGGCTTCGGGGAGGCACTGGGGGGCCCAGGATGTGCCCCATATGGGCAGACAGGAAGGGCTGGGCCTCTCGGGCTCCACTATCCAGGCTCCAGCTGCTGGGGGTTGCTGGCGCCGCTGAAGGGTGGAAACAGATGGCATGAAGGGAAGTTACTTCTTGAGCCACCCTCTGGGAGAAGCCCATCCTACAGCCTGTGGCTTCTCCAGGTATGTACTGCGTATCCAGCACACTTGGAAGGGGCGTGCTAGCCCCTGGAGCTAGAAACACTTGCCAAGCAGGCACTGTGGCCTACAGGGGAGAGTGGCCAGGGTTTGAAGCTCCTTAAGAGAGTGGCAACAGAGTAAGCTGATGTCTAAAGAGTACTCAGCATGAAACAGCTGAGAGAAAGTGCAGCAAGGAGTGACCATCTTCAGCCTCTGAGATTTGCTGGGAGGAGAAGGCAGAAGAGGACAAAAGAGTATAGAATAGGCTGATGAAGCCGAGAGGATACAGAGAGAACAGGGCCATAGAGCTCCTTGCCAAAGTTGAGTAAGGGCTCTCCTACTGCCCAGGCTCAAGGGGAAAAACAGGGAGTAAGGACAGATGATCAGTGTAGAGCTGGAAGAGAGTATAAAACCTAGGAATTGCAGCCCAAGTTCAGCTGGAACCACTGTTTCCTGAGGGGGATGGGGATGGGGGCTTGTGGAGCCCATAGATGCTCTGGGGCATCTAGAGAAGCCCAGTTTCTGTCACCTACATGCCATGGATGCAGGGTACAGTGGACCCAGGACAGAGGGAAGCACAGAGTGCCCTTCTGTGCTAAAGAAGGAGTCCAGTGCCAGAATACTGGGCTCTCAGCCATAGTTAGGATGAGAGACTTTGCTGGAGGGAAGAGAAGAGAAGCGATGGCCAGACTTGAGGGTCTGAGGGTACCACTCTGCAGGAGCAACAGGGGATATGTGAATCTTGTCGGCCAACTCCTAGAGAACAAATGCCAGCCAAAAGAACTGTGCCCTTTCTCTGGTGGAGTCAGGCAAGTCCAATCTCCCTTTTGGACTATTAGCAGCAGGGAAGTAGCTCACAATCCAGATGCTGTCACCGGCTTTGTTCCAAGGCAGTGGTAGCTATATTGAGTCTGAAGTAGCTGGGGTTTGGGTTCTTTCTGGTGCTGGCACTGAGTGGGGAATTCCAGGGCCTGATAGGAGCTGATGGGAGCTGGCTTTGAGGAGGATGTGGCCAAGAGGGGTTGAGCCCCATGGCAGTCCAAGGATCAAGAGGTGACATCCATCCTCTTCCTCATTGCTCAGTAACTGTGACTGCAGCAGAAGACAGGGTAAATTACCACTATTAAACAGCCGTAGTTCTAAGGAGGACTACTCAGTCTCATGGTGTGGTTGATGGCTGATGGCAGGAAGGAGGGGTGTGGCAGTGACTGAGCTCCGGGCAGGCACTCAGCTGTTGCCTGAAGGGAGGGAAGGATTCTGAATCTGATGAGCATCAGATGGATTCCACCAGATGGCCTCCTCAGAGAGTCTGAGCCACCCAAGAACAGGACCATCCTTGCCTACAACTCTCTCCAGGATGCAGCATTAGCTTTTTGGTCCTCAGCACTGAGGCCCTCTTTCCCCCAAAAGAAAAGCACCTTTTCCATAAAAAGCCACCAAATATCAGGGAAGAAGAAGTTTGGAAATGGATCTGGGAAGCCTCTCCAAAGGAGTTCCAATAGCCCAGGATCTAGAGGCACACCTAGGCCCTGGAAGGATTGTGGGGCTGCAAAAGTTCACCCATAAGGGTCCAGAGGGCATGAAGGCTATGGGAGAAGAAAGCTGGCAAGGCTGTAATGGTTTACAAAAGGATGTCTGCTTGAGCAACTCCACATGAACCAGAAGCTGTCAAGCTCTCCCTGTAGCCTGATGCCTGAGCAGTGAGGCCAGTAGACCTTTGCTATGCAGCATAAGTGCATTGGGGCTAGTGGAATGACTTATTTTAGGAGAAGAGGGGTGATCCCCACAGTGTCCTATCACCTTCCTCTCAGTGCTAACAGCTGTCCAGCACTGACCTGAGTGCCCTATGGCCTTGAGGGCAGGCTTGCCTGATCTGAGAGTCACTGTTTGGCAAAGAAAAATACCTGCAAGTGAGAAGTGGAGTCCTCGTGGGACTCAGAACCCTGACAAGAGAATGATGACAAGTGTGTACAGGTCCTGCCCTGGAGGTTCCAGGTGGAGATTTAGGGAGTTTTCACTCTGGCCTATGGGTTGTCACTGGGCAAATGTCTAATTTGCTGCCCACTAAGTGCTGGTCTTGTGCAGACATGTGTGCTCTGGGCTCAGCCTCTGTGTGGAGAAAACCCTCCTTCTCTCCCACACCTGGGGTGGGCATGTCCAGCTCCTTGCTATGGCCTGCCCTGAGACCCGAAGCTCTTCCATGTCTGGTTGGTGTAGGGTCCTGGTCTAGCCGCCAGCACCCATTTGAGTTCTGAGCCTGCCTGTGCTCTTGGCTAGTTCTAAGATTGCTCTATATCCCAGGTGAAGAAAAGTCACTGTAGATTCTGTCCCTCTAGGCCGAAAGGGCACTCTGTTTGGGGTCATAGGTGCAAGGGTCCAAGAAGCCACATGTTTTCGGGATATGCAGCCTTGAGGTTAGGAAGGCATCTTCAGCCAGAATCTCCAGGCACTTTGTGGCTAAGCACCTGGTGCCAATGCCCACCAATGTTTGGTCTCCTTAAAGAGGACATAGAGGTATGTCCTCCATGATGAGCAAGGGGACAGCAGACAACATTTGGTGAGAAGGTACAATGACAACATGATGACAGCTTTGGATGAACATGTTCTGATGAAATAGGGGATGGCAGGCTATATTAGTGGGAACTGAGTGTGTCCTAAACTCCAACAGCTGGAGGAGAGGGGATAAGAACCTATGGGGAAAGGGGCTGATATAGGTCCTGGTTCTGGGTGACAGGAAGGCTCAACTTTCACCATTTAGGTATGGCTCTGTGTTAAAATTAACCCAGGTGTCCATGTCTGAGGCTTCAGGCCAGGGTTACAGGGGTCTGAGTCTGGTTCTTCAGTCAGCTTGCAGGAGCAGAGCACAGGGTTAAATACAGTTCTAGGAAGGATTGCTCAGTCTTGTGGTATGGTTGATGATCTTGCAAAGTAGAAGACAGATTCACAGCAGCTGCTGGCCAAAGTGGCTACAGGAGGATTAGCCTCCTTTCAGGCACCCAGGGCTTCATCTGGAGAAGTCTGTCTTTGGAAAATAGGTGTGTCCCTTCCCATTCTTCTTAGAACTTGTTTGAACCCAGGCCTGTTCTGAGCTTCAAGGGGAGGTCCTTGAGGGCTCAAGTTGAGAGAGACTAAAGGGGCCATAGGGCCTGCTGAATTCTGGGCCTTGTTGGAAGGAGCCTAGGGAAGTGGTTGCCCACAGTTTGCACACAGCAGCCCATATTTCCATAAAGCTGGGTTCAGGGCAGGTGGCAGCTGGGGCCCCTCTGAGGGTAGGTCCTGGGGAGGGAGAGATATAAGATTCAGACTTTGGCATCAGGCCAGACATGGGTTAAACTGAGCACAAGAACTGGTCAGAATTCTATACAGACAGACAGACAGACCTGGATGCTGGAGTGTGGCTCAGCCCTGGCCAACTGGTGCTCAGGGATAAGAGTTAGACACTCAGGATGCAGACAGACACGGAGGAAGGCCACCTGAAGATGGGGAACAATACCTTTTTCAGCCACAGACAGATTGGGGTCACTGCAGGGTTTGCAGGCTCCAACCACTTGCTGGAACAGGGCCCGCTGGAAGTTTGGTGGCTGAAGGAAGGAGAAAAACATCACACGGTGAAAAGAACCCGTTACATCTTAGGAGGCAGTGTTGTAGGCCACAGGAGCCAGGACACTCCAAGATCAGACAGGGAAATCAAAGCAGTGGTATGGATCCCACTTGAGATGTGCTGAAAACTCCATGCCAACTCTAGGAAAAACTGTCTAGGGTGTCTGGCTCTGAGTGCTTCCATGTCCAACATTTGAGGCACCATCCTCCAATGTCTAGCTAGGACCCAAGCTGTCTTGTGCAGGGCCCAGGGAACAGGACATAGGTACCTGGGAGCATCTAACGTATCTTTTAGTCTGGCCAGGGATACCCACTGGCTGAAAGGATTTAGAAACACGCCCTTTCCCCATGAGTACTGACAGGTTTACCCTCCTGGAGAGGCCCTGCACAGGCCCATGTTAGCACTGAGGGTAGAGGAAAGGACAGCACCCAGGCCTAGAGTCACAGACAGGACCTGCTGTTTTGGTGGGCAGTTGCCAAGTCAGCATGCCCCTTTTGCCTGGCAGGGCTGATCAGGCACAGAGAGGTACCACTGAGACACTCCTGGCACTCTGAGGCTAGGTAATGGTCACTTGGCAGTGACTTTTATCGACTCTGATAGACGGGCAAGGATAGACTGCACAGGAGAGGGAGTTAATCCTTGCAGTACTTGGTCAAGGCCCTCAGGCAGAGCATGTGGAGAGCTGTGCAAATGGTGGAGGGCAGCCCCAGCAGGTAGTGAGGGGCTTCAGGTGGATGGATAAATAAAAGAGGCAGCATCTGCCCTGGTCAGGACGTCCTTCCCTCTTGCAGGGAGGAAGAATAACCTCCAGTCCCATGTCCACCATTGCGTTCTCAGGACAGGCTTCAGATAACGAGTTTCCTCTGCCAGGCTGTTTAGGGATGAGCAGTCCAGGAGTCTGGCCAAGACAGATTGCCACACAGGCAATGCTGGTTCCACCCCTGCCACCATTCTACTCACACCCACACTTTGCCTGGATTGCTGCTCCTCAGGTTCACTGTATTCCCCATGCAGGAGCCCAGCAGCCTTCAGAGGGATCTTACAGCAGAATGAGAGAGGCACACAGGAGAATGTGGAAGGCCCAGCAAATGCCAGGAGGGCTACACAGGCTGACACTTGCAGCAGAGGCAGTCAGTAGGGTGAGTCTACTACCTGTCCGTTCTCCAGGATGGCTGCTGGATACATGGCACTGCTTGGGCGGTCCCGGTGTGTGGGCAGCAGCAACATCATTTCCCGGGCATGGCGGTACTTATCTGGCAGAGAGGGAGAGCCTGTAACCAAGTGAGAACAATCAAGCACAGATGACAAGCCACAGATGGAGGGTCCAGCAGTCAAGCATCCTCATCAGGAATGAGGAGCCAGCGTAGTGACCCTTGCAGTTGGAGTGAGGATGAGCTCAGCAAGCACAGGAGGGATGAAGCAGAACCTAGTGGGCAGAACCTGGTGTCCCAGCCAAGGCAGACCCTGAAGGCTGGGGCAATGTAGACCCACTGACAGAGCCTCTCGCCATGCCCATAGGCAAAAGGTGAAGAGAGTTGAGAACTGGAACAGGGTGCCTACAGGCCCCCTCACTCTCAAGGGATGGGTTGGCCTGTATGCTGGGCTCTCTTGAGGGGCCCAAGCATGGGAACAGGCCAGCTTGCAATGGAGCCATCACACAGAGACAGAGACGCTCAGATAACATAGTCACACAGTTATTACTGGACATACCATGTCTCTACACACTTACCTTCTGATACCACTGGCCCTATTCTCAGCTGGCTCCCTCTACCATCTGTTTCCAGAGGCTTTTCCCAGATCCTACGCCCCCACTACTTGACCTCTGCCTTCCTGCCTGTCCTACTGCAACACTAGAGGCAGACTGGCTGCAGGCCAGGGCCCTGCACACAAGTGACTCTCCACGGTTTCTCCCTGTGTAACTTGCCCTTCAGTGAACTCAGGGGCCGTGGAACTAATCTGGAAGTTGTGGGTCTTTAGGCCAGGCTCTTTAGTTGATTTGGTTCATGTTCTCCTATGAGGCCTCTGCAGTGATTTCCCCTGGCCTGAGGGGCTGTTATGGAGGCCAGACCATGCCAGAGGACCCAGTCATCATGGATTCAGGTCCTAACTATAAGTCCAGAAAGATGTCAATCTGTATTTGAAAAGACCTTCCAGTAGCAGTAGAACAACATGCTGGCTTTCCTAGGGAGTGGGTAATTTGGAAGGCCCTCCACATGTGTACTGCTCATTGTGCCAGAGACAAGTATATCCATGGGAAATCACTGGGGGCACCAGACCTCTCACAGGAGAGTCACAGTCACCTGGAACCCAATGCTTCTGGCTGGCTCAAGTTCACTCTCCTTAGTGAACCTTGGTGGTTGAGACCAGTCCATGGGCTCCAATTGCGGGGTGACTCTGCAGCTACTAGAGACTCTGTCACTGAAATTCAGGGTCTCTGGAGCTTTCCTTTGAGTGTGCAGGTCCAGCACTGTAAGGATACGGCTAAAAAAAAAAAAAGGTCTTTAGCCAGCATGCCCAGGAGTCACTGAGAAATTCTTCTTGTAGTCATTTTAGTCTAAGAAAGCTAAAATACTTTAAAGAAGTCAATGTAATAAATGCCAGTAATGCAACTATTTCCACAGTTTTTTTTATACAACTTCTTTTAGTTGGCCTGATCCTGTTTGTAGAACCTCAGGGCTACCTTTAAGACCTGGTCTTTAAAAACATCCTTCATTGACAAGGGAATGATTTAAAAAGTATGATTAAAAAAAAAACCTGAACCTGGATTGCTACCATTCTGTGATTTCTCTCTGTTTTTTTTTGGATTGGAAAATGAAATTTATTTAGAAAGTAGATTAGAAAGAGAGAAAAAAGGGGAATCCACCACCCCCAGATTGAAGAGGGGGCCAGAACTTACAGAGAAGCATGGCCTCTTTTTTTTGAGTCGGGTATTACTCTGTCACCCAGCCTGGTGTGCAGTGGCATGATCATGGCTCACCACAGTCTCAAATTCCTGGGTTCAAGTGATCCTGCCTCAGCCTCCCAAGTAGCTGAGACTATAGGTATGTGCCACCATGCCTGGCTAACTTTAAAGGTTTTTTGTAGAGATGAGGTCTCGCTGTGTTGTCCAGGCTGGACTTGAACTCCTAGGCTCAAGTAATCCTCCTGCCTCATTCTCCCAAAGTGCTGGGATTATAGGCATGAGCCTCTGTGCCTGGCCAATTTTATTGGTTTCTGTTTTCTTTTAGAACTTGTGCTCTTAGGCAACCTCAAGAAGATGGCTATGTAAAAAGAAAAGAAAAACGCTCCCAATCTCACTGATTTATATAGTACCTTCCCAGCAAGAAACTCAGAATGTTCCTAAACCCTGTAGGCCACAGCTCTGGACAGGGCTACCCTCTATTTAGCATGCACCAAAAGAAACAGCACCTTTACACATCCTTAGTTACATCAAACTCATATCTAAGCTCATCCCACACCAGGCATATGGTTGGATACTGGTATTCTATCTTGCTTAGGCTGTCCACGGTCCCTCACCTTACAGAGCTCACAGCCTAGTTCACAAAGAAAACCCCACATCCACATGTTCAATATCTTAATCCATGTTAGGGGGCTAGGATGGAGGGACAGCAGCCTGAAGGCCGCAGTCAGGACCCAAGGGCTCTGCTGGTGGTTTGGATTCATGTATGGTGGCGTATCTGGTACTATAAGGGGTGTTTTGTGCTACCACTAAATCTTCTGACTGTACCACCTTACTGCCCTCACACTGCCCTCTGCCCTCAGCCACCAATCCCATGGTAGAGGAGGGTAGTGGTTACTTTTCATGGAAACACTGAAATACCACAAGGGGTTCTATGTTCATGGAACTTTTGAATGACTTGAGTTGTAGTATGTAAACCCCAGTGTGACTATTCAAGGAGGATCATTCAAAATCCCTTTTTCCTAGCCTCAGTTAGCCTTTTGACCGCCAGGGGGTGCTGCCTATCTGAGTTTAGAGTGCTTTGCAGGTCATTTATCTCGTTATCTCGGAGGCATACAAAGCAACAGGAAATCACAACAGTGTCAATAGGTATGACAAGAAATGTCACTGGTCTCATGAGCACTCCTGGGAGTGGGGCCAGTAACTCTAACGCAAAGGACTCCCCTCTAGATCACCTTCTTCATAAAAGCTTTACCTTCACTGGTTACACCAGACACAAACATAAGAGTAGACTGTTTCCTCCCTTCTTTGCTCTCTGCCAAGGCTTTTCCCAGTTGAGCACAGCATCTTTCTACTATGTCAGACTGCCCTGTTATCTCCATTACTCCTACCGGAGGCCTCATAGATTTGTGTGCTTTGGAGAGATTCTTTCCTTAATGACCATATCGTAAGTTTGTGCTACTTTTGTCTTCATAATAGAAGAACAAAGAGACCTCTTCCTCTGAAGTCTGGAACAAGAGCCAATGACTGACTGGCAAGCTCAGACCATTGTCATTATCCTGCATAGGCAGCCCTAGAAAAGCAACAGTTCTTATTTATCACAGCTTATTTTTATTCCACTGCAAATGTTTCTATCTACAAGGCCAGAATCAACTTTTACTGCAGGAACTAGTATTAGCATGTGAAAAAGATGCTGGCTCTCAGAGAACAATCAGCTGAATAATAAATTAAGCAATAATTGACAAAGTAAATAGGTTTTTACAGAACCATCTCTCTTGATTAAGCCTTTCCCAACTGAAGAATTTGTTTTGGTTATTATTGTTTTAGAATGATATTTTCCAGGGTTAATTTTAGCCTTCAGATTTGCTTTTTATACCTTTTCATCCTGCTTGATTCCTAAAGACAAAAGACTCACTTTTGCCTTGACTTTCATCTTCATTCTATCAAACATTTCAGTGGAAAAAACTGAGCTTTCTTCTAGGCTGTGGTCATCTTACTGAGGTAGAAATGCAATGGCTGGCTACCTGGTGGCAGCATAGCAGCAACCACTGCTCAGAGCAGGGTCTAAACCATGCCAGAGAGAGAGATCTGGGGGCAGAAACCCTCGAGTCCTTAGTGGAAAAGCACAAATGAACATTCTCTAAGTCACAGGGCTTAGACACAGCCACATATGAGAGGAGGAAGAGTGGAGTTTACAGAGCCCTCTTTTCTCCCTTCTGCAAGCAGCACCCTGTCATCCTTACCTCGGGCACTGGAAGGGGCAGAGGTAATCATCTGGGATGGTGCTGAGTGAGTGGAACTCAGGCTGGAGGAAGAAGGGCTTGCCTGGGACGAGGACAGAACAGAGACGTTGGTGACTGAGCCCTGGTACCTGGGGTTGGGATACGCAAGCTGCAAAGGGAGAAAAATCAGCAGGGTAGAAGTCTGAATGGCCAGTACTGTAGGGCTGGCACACAGTTGACTTCTTCATGCCCTGAGGTGCTCAGACCCAATGCCCAATGCTGTATCATGAACCCTGATCAAGTCCAGACTAATGGCCAGCACCAGGAACCACCCGCATACCCCACATGTAACAGGGCTGTTAGGCTAGCCCTACCAAGGTGCCCATGGAGGAAGCAGGACTAAGCCAGCAAGAATGCCAGGCAAGAGGGAAATCTGGCAGAATAGACTTGCTATGGGATCTCTGAAGGCAGCCAGGACTGAAGCTGGATGTCCTTCTTGCAAAATAAGATCTGAGAACTGAGACTTAGGATGGTATGTGGAGGGGAGGCACTTTCTCGCTCTGGTGAGGGGTGTTCTGAATTCTGGAACTAGAGAACGAGGCATGGCTGCCAGTCTTCAGACCAGACCCTCCAACAGCAAGGTGAGTTCTCTAGGCATGGAGAATTCTGAATATTTTCAGTTGACCCCATTGTCCCTGGACAGCTCTGGTACCTGCATGTGGTGGTACAGGTCCTCAGGAGCCTCGCCCATGGAGCTGTCGCCCAGCATCACCATGTTTCCCGCTTCACTAGACGCATGTGAGGAGAGAGAGGATGATGAATGGCGGCCTGTACCCATCAAGTTCATGGGGCTGTGAGCAAGAGTGGGAAATAGGAGTCAGGCCCATGGCTGAGAAACCATCTGGGTGGTAGGGGGACAGTAAAGGGGAACGTGTGAAACAGACGCCCCTAGTCTCAGCCACCACAAGTTTGCAGGGCTCCATAGCCAATGCTCAAACCAATTTGAGGCCTGGAACAGTCCTGAGTCTCACCCTGCTAACCCAGGAGCCCCTGGTCTGAGAGGGCCTATGGTGGGCTGGCCTAGTGTCTACCTAGAGATGGCTTATAGCCACTCAGTCTGATGACATTAGCAGTTTCTCAGAAGTAAAAGAGGGATATGCTGAATTAGGTCAAGGATCTCAGGTCCCCCTTTCTATGGGGAATAGTCTGAGCCAGTACCCATCTCTGTCCACACCATGATGGGATCTGCTCCTAGGTCAGAGATGTGTTCCTGGGATGGGGAAGCTATCAAAATAGCTGCTGGTGAACTATCTGGGATTCCTTCCACAACCGTGACCACAGGATGGCTAATAGCTCTCTTCTAGCAACACTGGGAAGACATTCATTCATTTGTTCCTTCTCTTTTACCGAGTGCCCACTCTGTGCTGAGTTGCTGCTCATGCTGGTTTTCTCCCTCAGCCTGGCTTTCCTGCCATAGAGGCTTTGAGTATTCTCAGCTAACCCCAGGCAAACCAGGACTCCTGGGTTTAGAGCAGCCACACCTTGATGTCCACATCACCATGGTGTTTCTTCCTTAAAACCATTTGGTGATCCTCATTCCCCTTGGGATCAAGTCCAAAGGCCTGCATGAACAAGGCCCATTCAGAGCTGGTCCTGGCTCCCTCCCATACCCTGGCTCTACTCATAGTGCTAACACAGCTGGCCTGTTTACATCTTGAGGCTTCTGCGTGTGTCAGTCACTTTGCCCAGATCTTGCTCCGTCACCCTCCTAACCCCAACTCTTTTCTGCTCAGCAAACTTCTACTTATCCATCAAGAATTACCCCAATGCTCCCTCCTCCGTGTTCCCACAATTCCATGTATACACTTCTATCACTGAGGATAGTGACTGACTAGATGCAGGGTGGGGGTCCTCTTGTGGGAGCCATGTAAGTGTTTGCTGTGTGTGGGTAAGAGGGAATGTGAGCGAGGACACACAGGTAAGTGCTCTTTAGGTCTCCTTTCCTCCAGCCCTTGACATTTAGACTTACCTCTCTGGAGGGAATCCTCCCAGCCCTAAGGCCATACCTGTGCCGATGGGTCATCTTGATGCTCTCAGGACTCATGGGACTATGAGAAGTCAGAACATTTCCCCGTGGGGTGCTGGTGCCTGAACAGGCAGGACTTAGCTTATCCAAACCTGGAAACTCCTGTTGAGAAATGAATGCCCTTTCAGAGAGAGTAAAGAATAAATAAATGATTAAGGGATGGGAGGGAAGAACTGGCTGGTGGTCACAAATGTAAAAGAAAGAAACAAAAATCATACTGTTGTGTAAACCTGAACTACTGACTTCTTTTGGGCAATGCCCCCTTCATGACTGAAACACCCTTCTAACTGCACTGGAACCTAGAACAGAGGCTGGTTGTGGGGCCCTTGGTTGACTCCACCAAGAAAAACAACATTTAGGGGCAACCTCTTCAGGCCCCCTCCCATTGTGGGAGCTTTTCTGTCCTCAATAAATCCTGCTTTCTCACCAAAAAAAAAATAGAAAAGAAAACAATAATTAGAATAGGCTGAAGCCAGTCTGAGCTCATAGGAGGAGCCTGTTAACAGGCTTTCTCATTATACAATAAGTAGACCAATAGCTGGGAAGGAGGAGAGGAAGAGCTTATTATTAGCTGTCAGTCAGCGGGAACTTCTTACATAAGGACTGGGAATGGGTTTTAGTGTATTGCTAAATGGCCCAGCTCTTAGTAACCTAGATTAAGTTGCCTGTGACACAGTTTTTGGGGAGATAGGACACAAAATCCTGATGGTAAGTAACTGAAAAACAGCACAGTTCCATTTTAGCATGATTAAATTCTTATTAAGTATGTAGACTTCTTGGCAGAAACTTCTGATCTCAAACCCTACTAGGAGACAGCACGTTGGTTCGTGTCCCTGTTTGTGAGGAAACAAAGTACAACTGTCCAGGTTTCCTCAAGTCCTTCATAATCTGTGGTGGAGTGGGACCCTAAGTTCACTGGGGATATTTCTGAGCTTGGCTTTAAGAAGCAGCAAGTTTTCTATCCCCTTCTCCCAAAGTATGCAGAGGGCTGAAATGTGCTCCTGCAGTTGCAGAGCACACCTCCAAGTGTACAACTGGAGTCCTTGATGTAGTAGGACAAGCGTTTGTGCCTTCTGCAACCCACATGGCAGAGAACCTCCCCAGTGACCGGGCTCTAGCCTGCCTGTGCCACCTGCTGTGAGAGGGAAGTTTGCACACAGCAGAGACCAGCCAGACTGGCAGGAGACACAAATGGAAGGAGAAGTGATGGAATACAATCAGGTACCCAAGTTGTTTACTAAATGGACACTCCAATTTTAAGGGGGAAACTTAAAAGACCTCTGCATGCTTCAACTTAAAATACCGTGGGAGAATCATAACAGAAAGAAGTTTTAGGCGCTATAGGCTTTCCTCTGGAAAATATGCTCACTTCTCAAACTATAACAAGCTCCTTTTTCTCTCTCTCTCTCTTTTTTTTTTGTAGTTGAAGTCTTACTCCATTTCCCAGGCTAGAGTGTAGTGGCATACTCATGGCCACCACAGCCCTGACCTGCTGGGCTCAGGCAATTCTTCCGCTTCAGCTTTCTAAGAAGCTGGAACTACAGGTGCGTGCCACACCTGACTAATTTTTTGATTTATTGTAGAGATGAGGTCTCACCAAGTTGCCTAGGCTAGTCTTGAACCTCTGGGCTCAGGCAATCCTCTTGCCTCAGCCTCCCAAAGTGCTGGAATTACAGGCATGAGCCACTGCACCCAGCTGTTTTCACTTTTCATGCTGTCTACACTTGGGTAGGGCTAAGAACTCCACTGGGAGCCTGGAAGGACTGAGAGGCCAAGAACCTGTGCATTCAAGAACAAAGCAGGTCAACTCCAAAGAGGTCAGGCCCACAGACTCCAAGTGGTCCAACCTCCCCCAAGGCTTCTGTGGCTAATGATTATCCCTAAAGGGGGAGTTTCTTGTTCATGACAGCCTAGTGTAGCATTGAATAGCTCCACTTCTTGTCTCCATGCCACTTCTATTCCGTGGTCCCAGGTGATGAGAAGAGAACTTTGCTTGGGTGTCAGGTAGCAGCAGGTAATTGGGCTCATACTCCTTAAGATCTGGAGTCAGCCTATTTAGCAGGAAGGCATCCCTAGAAAACATTTGGAGTCAGCCTCATGGTTGGAAATGGGGCAAGGGTGTGTGAACAGGAGGCTCAGCACTACTTGAATCCCTTCCTCAGCTAGTCAGTATTCCCTGTAAGGCCTAGCCAAGGAAAACTAGTCCTGGGATATAGGTCCTCCCTATGTGTATAAATCCCTGGGCCAAACCTTGCTATGGAGGCCAAAGAGCCTGGCTAGAGTTAGGGAAACCTCCAGGGGCCTGGTCCAGCCCCAGGACCTGACTAATCCTTCTAAGTATGGCCAGCATGAAAGTATTGCCCATCCTAGGCTATTTCAGATGCAAGTCTTGGTCACCAGACATGTTGGAGGAAGTTGGGAAGAAGAAAGAGAGAGGGAAGAAAGAGAGAGAAAGGGAAAGGGTAAAAAGAGGAAAAAGAGAGAGAAGAAGAGAGGAGAAGGAGGGAGATGGGGAGAGAAGGCTGGCTTATGCCATGCCTTCCCTCCTTAGGCTCCTAGGATAAAAGATATCTTCAAAGAGATCCCTACATGTAGGCATATACTTTAGCTCTTTTCCTCCACTTACAAAAATCTCTGTTTACTAGCATAGTGCCCTGAAAATGTTCTTTGCCCTTGAATGTGACTCCTTCTGTGGGAGTGAATGATTGAGGAGCCTCAGCATCCTTCCCTTGGATATAGCATCCATGCCTACCTCCTGCCCCTCTGCAGGGGGACAGCTTCTCCCCCCAGTGCTCCCTCCCTCCAACTTTCCTTTGGCTTGGGGCACAAGCCAGGAGGAAGTAACACCTGATTCTACTGCAGCAGGGGCAGGGCAAGGGATCAGCTTACATGGTAGAGACTGGCCCGCATCATCTGGAACTGATCAATCAGTTTCTTATGCAGAGGTCGCATTTCTGGGTGCACAAATTTCTCATGAACTGCTAGTCCAATTCCAAGGACATGGACCTATGAAGATGCAAACAAGGCCACTCTGTGAACCATAAATAGTCCCTGAGAACTGAAGCCATCTTGCAGTGCACAGCTTTTCCTACTTGGCCACTGTCCTCTAACCTCTAAGCTCTGCAAGACATACCTGCTCTTGCATGAGCTCCTTGAGCTGGGTGATCTTCTCAGCATCTCCTGGGTGCTTGGTGATATAATCTTTATCAAAGAAGGCCTGTGAAAGGAAAGGCCAAGTTAGGAAGACTCTTCCCAGGACTATTTAGATGGGGCCCAGGAGGCTTGAATCCAATAATGCCATCTAAAAGGCAGCCAGCCTGCTTCTCTCACAGGTACATATGCTAGCACTTCCAGCCTGGCCTGTTTGAACCTCTGGCAATGAGATGTGTGTTTTTGTCTAAAGACTAAAGTTGGCCAATTCATCTAAGCCTGAATGCTGGCTCCAGTCCCTCATGAAGCCTAAATGGCTTAGGTAGGGCAGGCAGGACAGGTGGCCTGAGAGCAGAGACTAGCCTCTTAGCTAGCCTACAACTTACTTCTCATACAGAGTTGGGCTCCAGGAATCCTCTTGGGAGGCCACTTAATCAGATGAACTACTTTCTGTCAGAGTTCAGAGAATAAAAATGAAGAAAAGGCCCTACCAGGGAACTGTGTCACAGAAATAGGGAGTGGTGGGAAGCTCGGAGCCTCAGCGCAGGACCATCCCAAGTTAGCTTAACCAGAAGACAGTAAGTTGGGAAGGCTGCCCAAGGAGGATGCGATTGAGAAGAGGAGCCTGTGAGTTGCCTTCCTAGCCAGGCTGCCTGCATGGGTTTGGTCTGGGGCCTTGGCTTACCTCCTGGTAGCGTGCAATGCCTCCGTTGACAGCTGCATCAATGACACCATTCAGGCACATACTGAGTAGGTTGATGTTGCCATGCACCTGCTTGTGTTGATACTGGCTGATCAGGGCCCGTAGCTCCTGGTTCTTATTTTCAACCACTTGGATGGCATTCTCCAGAGGGCTCACCTCCACCTGGGGGCATACAGCATACCGTATTATACCAGAAATGATGATAACCCCTCATCACATTCCTGAGAGCAGGAGTCTAGGATCTGTGGTGCTGATTCCCCTTCCTTGTTCCCATGAGGTTCCCTGAACCCTTTCTACTTTTCCCTTCTGATTTATAGGCACTTGGAAGTACAAGAAATAGTGAAAAGTGCTAGTTCTGAAATCAGAAAGCTCTGGCCTCCTGAATCTCAGAGAATAGTTGTCTCATTTGTAAACTGAGAGGTTAAAAATACCTGCTGCCTAGGGATGCAGTGTAGATTAGATGAGAGAAGGGACACAAAGATCCCAGCACAGACTTGACCTGTGGGAGCATAGGCTAGGAAGGTGGTCGAAGCTCTCTTTTTCTTTAGTCCTTAGAGAAAGGTCCCCAGAGCCAGGGCTGAGGGAACAGTTATGAAACTCAGCCTCATCTGAGACATGTCTCACCAGTTCCCTCCTCTCCACTTCGAACCACCGAGAGATGCCAGGCAAGCTGTGGGTCAGGGTCAGTGTGGTGCGCTCAATCCAGAGGCTCTGCAGGGAGGGCACAGACAGGTGTAGGCAGTTAGGCAAGTTTTGTCACACCCTGCTTACCCAAGAGAAAACAGAGAGTTCCTCAGAAAGTGGGGATTGTCCCTTGACTCACTGTGAGCACTGCCCCTGCGTTCCCAGATTTGTTCACCTTAAATTCATTCTCCTTGTCTTTGGGGCCTTTGTGAAAAGGCCTGTCGTACCGGAACTTCCTCACATTGTTGACACGATAGAAGCTCTTGACGCGATCTGGGACCCGATCCATCTGCAGAACATCCACATACTCTGGAATGGGAGTCACTGCATAGATCTGCAAGTCTGGGCAGGAAGTGAAGGGAAAACTCACACTTTCCAAAGAGATGGACCTGAGCGGCTGACCCTTGTCATCTCAAAGGAGAGAAGAGCACCACAGCTGGTTACCCACTGACAGCAATGGTGGAGGCAGTAGTTAGAGCCAAACCCCCTCTGTCCTCTCCCCATCCACCTCCCTCCTCCAGTAGTAAGTCTCAGGAGCACTTAGCCAAAGTGAGATATCAACAGACAACTATTCTCTGGTGCCTCTTTAAGAAGGAAAGGGAAAGAGGTCACGGGAGTGCAGGTACCTAGCCCACAGCAGTGAGAGAAAGATGCAAGATCCTGGGCCTGCCCTGTAGGTAAACTATGTTTACTGCAAAATAACTTTTAAATACAACACTATTTGAAATCTTTGTGGAGAGAAAACAGATGGGAATCTGTTAGCCCTTCCCTCTCTGGGAACAAGCTTGTCATAGTCATGGTGACTGTCATGTGGTCTCCAAGGAAGCTATGTGTGGGGGACACTGAGAGGTAGGCCAGTGTTTGCATACAGACTTCCAAGTACCACCAAACCAAAGGAACTCCCCATCTCCTCCCCCTTCTCACATTCCTGTTTCTCTGCCCTAGTCTACCTGATAAGATAAAGGATAATAACAGTGGACATAGGAGTGGAGCAGGACATAGTACAGGTGGTATCTCTGTGACAAGAGCCCTGTGGGACTCCAAATCACCCTGCATGATGATTGCTCCTGGCTGCCTGGTGAGACCCCCTCATAGGGGATGGTAGGGACTAAGCTGCTGGAAATAAACAGCCTGAGAGATAAAGATCCCCATGAATCCCTGCTGATGACTAGGCCACCCGTGCTAAGGGCATACAATTGCTGCCTCTGTGAGGCATGAGTGCCTTGCTAAGTGTGTGTTTAGTTCTGAGGACACACTTAGGTTTAGGACTATGGCTAACCTAGCCTGTATGGCTGATAAAGTGGTAGAGGGGCAGGTGACTGGGTGGGTCTCCGCTCCCAGGGTCCCACCCTCTTGCCCCCACCGAGTGTCAAAAGATACACTGGGCATCACACTGAAGGATGGCGTCGTCAGGATGGTTGGGGTGCTGCATGGCAACAGCCTGCGGGAACTCGCTCAGCATCCTCTGCTGGAAGGCCTCCAGCCTCTCGTAGTCATGGCCGCGGCACACGTATTCTTTGTTCTGCCACAAACATGAGAGCACACTCTGGACCTTGCCTGTAGTCCCCCATTTCCATATGGGAATCAGTAGCTGTTCATCCCACAAACATGTCCTAGAAACCTCCTTTACCAAACCCTGGGCACAGCAAGCACTCAGTCCCTGTCTTGAGGGAAATGACGGTCAAGGAGAGAGACAAACAGGTGAAGGGAGAACTGTGGTGTGGCAGGCCTGGGGTGGGTACAGGCTGCAGGAAGCTTGGAGGAAGGAAGGAGAATCACCTTACCTAGGAAGAGGAGTGGGTGGGGGGTGAATGGGATTTTGAAAAAAGTCATGTTTTTAAAAAGTCCTAAAAGGCCCACCTGGGTTAGCCTGGTATGGCATGGCATGGCATGACATGAGTGGGGAGGGACAATCTATGTGGGTACAGTGACAACCAGATCAACAACAGCCAAGACAGGAAAAGGCAGAGCTGGAAAGAAAGTATATGTGGAGAACTGGTGGGAGAGTGGCTAAGAGGCTAGCAGGTATATGCCAAGTAATGACTGCTACAAGTGCCACCAAATGATTTTAAATACCGGGTGATAACCAGGCTCGGTGGCTCGGCCTGTAATCCCACGCCTTGGGAGGCTGAGGTGAGTGGATTGCCTGAGCCCGTGGGTTCGAGACCTGCCTGGGCAACTTGGCGAGACCTCAACTCTACAATAAATCAAAAATTAGCCAGGCATGGTAGTGCATGCCTGTAGTTCCAGCTACTTGAAAGGCTGAGGTGGAAGGATTGCCGGAGCCCAGCAGGTCGAGGCTGCGGTGGCCAGGAGCAGCCACTGCACTCCAGTCTGGGTGACAGAGTGAGACTCCAACTCAAAAAAAAATAAATAAATAAATAAATAAATACAGGGTGATCGGCTGTGACTTTGAAGATCACTTTTATCAGCTGCGAGAAACAGTTTAAACATTGCCCAGTGTCCAGTAGGTATTCAATAACTGTTTACTGCATGAATAAACCCCCTTGGCAGCAAATTCTTTTGTAAATGTGTCAGCAGAACAAACTGACATCATTCTAACTACATATTTCTTAAAACTGTATGTTACATCACATTTGGTTTGGGTTAGGTCTCAGTTTTCTCTTTGTGGACTGAAGTCTCTGTGAACAAGACACCCAAACTCTGCTGCTCTGTCTACCTTATAGTTGGTCATGAGTGGGTGACTGGAGGAAGTGCTGCTAAAACCCCTGGTGACACTGCTCACCCAACTACCTTGCCAGACCCATTTCAACTAAGTGGTATCAGGCACTGTTGGCCCTGCTGGCCTATCTTCAGAAGACAAAAGAATGAGAGAGACCCTGTGGGGCCAGCTATGTGCCTCTCAGGACAGGCTGATCACCGGCCAGGTCTTGAAGGACCTTGACCTTCTTGAAATAGGATTTCTGCCTCTTCTTTACTTCCCCTCTTACTATGACAGAACTCAGATAAGGCTGAGCCATGTGTTTGGATACATTAGAACAAAAGGCCAACACCAGAAGGGAAGTTAAGGTTAAGAGGAATATGCTGACCAGTTGAACAGACCAACAGTCAAAGGACAGAGACATTTCTAAGTCTCTTGCTTGATAAATTGAACTGACAAAGAAAATATGTGTGAAGAAGTGACTTTTTCATATCTACTCATATAGGCAACCCTCATCAGTGTCTGTTCATAGGTCAAATGAAGAGAAATAGAAATTCCCCAAAAAGGGAGGGTTGGATATTTTCCTGTCTCCTTGCAGATTAGTAGATAATCACATTTGTGAGGTGAGGCAGGCAGATGGTCCAGAGAAACCAAGCTGGCAGAGTTAAAGTAATAGATGGCCTGTGCATTCAGGGATGGTGAGGAGGTAACCTAGCCTTCTGGAGAAGGCCCAGCAGGAGGAAGGCACACAGTGCTGACCTTGAGGCTGGCTGTTGGTCTCATGTTCACTTGGGCAAGAGCCCTAGCATCCCCACACTAGACAGATCTGGTTGCCACTGCTTTGTACTTTATTTTCACCATCAACAAGGCAAACAGGTACCTCCACTGGGATTTATTCTGTCTGCCAGAGATGAATAGCTGAAGTAAGAACAGGCAGTATGTGCCTAGGCCAAGGAAATTTGTATGTATGGAACATAGGTCCTAGAGGGTGTGCCTTGGGTGGAGATGGGGGTGGACTGATGGGTGACATTTCCTAACATCCTTTATATATTTTCCATCATTACTGAAGCCTTTGAAGCCACATTAAAAAATTTAGATGGTTACTTGCGAGCATGATTTGAATGGCTTATATGCAGGTTTTTTGTGCCAGGTACTACTTGTCAGACAGCTTCAAGAACGCTGAGACACTGATGTGCCCTGTGACATAAGTGTGAGAGGTGGGAGCCAGGTCAAACCTTGGCAGAAACAAAAACAGGGGACACCAAGGCCTAATTGTATAATATCCAAAATAATGATGTTTCACAGTGAAACCTGATTTATGATGTATAAACTGCTGATCTACAAAGGAGAATAACATGACAATAACACGTAATTTGCAAAGAGAAAATGAGAAAAAAAGCAAATTACAGGGCCAGAATTGTTAGTTTGTCAAAAGACTTTCTGGAGATGCTTTTGGATTCTAATTCTTGTACAATTTCTTCTAACTCTTTTGCTGACCTCCACCTCCATTGTTGTTATATGATCTGTGCTGATGGGGGCAGCAAATATGACACTTGCTGGATGATTACTAGAGATAAAGGAATGAAGTCTTTCTACTTAGCCCCCCCCCCC